CCCACCATTAACAGTAAGCAGCTGACTGCTTGAAGAAAGTAGCACATTTTATCCATGGGAAAAAGGCTAACCATGACAAATACTATGTGCAAGCTGACATACTCTGTCTACACACACCCTCCCTCTAATAGTTGGTAACCTCAGCAAGCTGGCTACATGATGTGACATGACTGAAATTCCGTTACTGCAGAAATGCATTGCAGTCCTACTTCCTAGAGCACAGCCTGTGCTATTACACCAGTACTAACATTACTGAACTCTGCCTTTCACCATAACTGTGGTAGTATCAACCTAGTGCAAAAATGTAGGTTGTGTAAGTTATGGGGAATAGAAGTTTTATTTCTGAAAAATATGTCAGTAGCTGAACTTGCCTCTGATAGCCAGCCTGATGTTTTCTGACTCTATCACATCTGCTTACCTGTCCTCTAATATTATCAGTTACGTTTGTCCAACTCATCAAATCTGAATTTGCAAGACAAGCTCCCATTTTCAGATGGTCTTACTATATACTTGAGGGAGTATTTTGTTCTGTTATGGTTTGTTGAGGAGGAGGTTGGTTTTGGTCGTTTTTTGTTTTTTCTGTTTTTTTTTAAAGAAAATATGACTTGACTACTTTAATACACATTTTTCTTGGATACTTAGCTTGTTTCAGTGACTCCAGTATTACTGGGAAGCAGATGGAACTTCTCTCCTGGTATCTTGCCATCCTGACAGAATGATGGATGCGAGCACTTGAAAAATCTTCACCTTATTCTACATTGCTCTTAGATGTCTTCTAGCTCCTGCTTTGAAACTGACACACAGCTTGGCTTACGCTTTTCATGGTGCTTCCATGCTTTGTGCTTTCATCAGGTTGAACACTCCATGTACATCTCACTTTGTTTCTTACTTTTTTCTCCTGTACTTATACACAGTATAGTACATATACCTATGTACGTATCAGACATCTGAGACTGATATTGAAAAAATGCTTTTGACTTCAACATGCTAATCAAAGTTTTCATACACATAAGCTAGTGTCAAACATACCTTTTCAACTTAGTGTATCGTTCCTCTTTCAATGGGTAAATTGCTTTCTGATTGCTGCCTGTGTTAACTAGATTTGCAAATAAGAATAGAGCAGAGGATGTCATATTCAACTTCAGTGAGGTTTTGAACACTCTCTACCCCACCATTCTTGTATCCAAGGTGGGATATTATGGTCTTGATTAGTGGAAAACAGCTTAAACAAACAAACAAAAAACCTGTTAGCAGCCGGCAAGCACCTAGGAGAAGGCTATCAAGATGATAAAGCTAGGCTCTTCACAGTAACACATAATGGGAGGATAGGAGACAAAGAACGTAAGTTGAAATGTGAAAGATTTGGACTGGATATGAGGAAAAACATCTTCATCATAAGGACAGTCAAGTATCAGAACAGGCTGCCCGGAGGGGTCATGCCATCTGTGATCTGTTCTCACAGCTTTATGACCTGCTTAGAACAAGAGATGGGACTAACGACTTCCTCCAATACCTTCCAACCTGAACTATGGTCCTAAAGCAGTTAAGAGCCTCATGTCAAGCACAATTTTATTGAGTTTTACTCCCCTGGCCTTTCTAAGTATACATTGAGACTGTCATCAAATACAGTTTCTGCCATATTGGTACAAAATTCATACAGCAGGTTCTCCTCATATCGGGTTAGAGACTGTGCTTATTATTTGACATGAATCAATGAGGCAATGAGCGATACAGTCCAGGTTACCATTAGTTTTCACAGTGCCTCAAAAAAACGTAAAAATTAAAAGAGAGTGTAATTCAATTAAGTGCAAGTTTCTGTATGTAGGAGGAAGAATCACCTACGGAAAGTCCAAATGAGATATTAAGTAGTGGTTCTACAGAACAGTATCTGAAATTAACAATGAATCACAAGTCAAATGTGAATAAAGAAACTCATGCTAATATTAAGAAGGCTAATTTTTCTTCATAAAGGTATTCTTTGGAAGACCTGAATTCTTTTCTTCCACTCAGTGCTGACAGAACACCAAATGCAGCACTGGGTTTAATTGGGAGCACTATGGTTCCAGAAACACATGGACCAAAGGGAGCAACTGTGTTGAATTCTCACATTTTATCTGAACACAGATAAAAGTGAAACGTATGATCAGATGTCTATAAAACATATTCTGTGAGGAAAGGCTGAAGAAATTTGAGATAGAAAAGCTACAGAACACAAGACTAAGGGATTATCTGGTAGACCTTCTAGTAGGTAATAAGTAGTTTAACAGAGAAAGTGAATATGTTTTCCTTCTCAGCTCTGTATAGGACAAAATGACCTGAGTCCAGACTATACCAAAACTATTCAGGTTAGACATAACAAAGAAATTTCAGAGTAAGGACAACAAAGTAATACAGTAGGTCACCACAGGCACATTACTGGGAATTTCTAGAGATAAACTGGATAAACATCTGTCAGGAATTAGGCAAGTGTCATTGATGCTAGCTTATGGAGAGGAATGGATATATGACTCGATTTTCTATGGTTCTATGAATAACATCATCTGTGATACAGATTTTTCTTAATATAACACTGTAGGCAGCACTAGGATTTTTTTGTTATAGGCTTAACTCCAGTTATGTTCTTAGGTATAAGCAGGTATGGACTGATGTGCAACTTGATGGTAGATTGTTGCTTTCCCAGTTCAGTACTTCCCAAAGCTTGTATTAGGTACCAAGTATGGAAAAATACCTGCTTTTATGAAAACAGCTTCACTTTAGTTGTAGCCAGGTTTGAGCACTTTGTCTATTTACATAAACATTTTGCCTGGCTTTTCAAGAATTGCTATGCATGTTACCTAATACATGAATCACACAAGTTTACCAAGTTTGAAATCCAGTTTTTTATTTTCTCCATTTGCTTTGTCTTATTCACACCGAAGAAACTGAGAAGCAGTCATTTTACACATTTCCACATGTGACAAACTTGGCAGATATTACTCATTTAAAAATGCAATTTTACAATTTTAGAAGCTTTTCTCAATGCAACATATTGTACTGTCCATTTCTGGTATAATTTCCTGGTGCTCACATTTCTATTATGTAGAGAATCATATGTTTAGCCTTATCGAATTCATGAATTTAAAGTTTTTATCTGAAAACTGAGTCTTCTGGTTGTCCATGAAGCCTAGTGTATAGAGTAGAGCCTGATAATTTTCTTGCAGCATTCTACAAGTAATTTACACTGTCCTTAATAGTATTATGATCTTGCCACTGTATAATTTAAATTCAACTTCTTTTTTTTTTTTCTTGAATGCAATTCTGTTTTCTTCCCATGAAAAATGCTAAAGGATTCTTTGAAGCCTAGCACATTCACAGATGTCCCAGTATCTACTTGGCATTCAATTTCCTGTTTCTGTACTACGTCTTTGTATGTGATGGTACTCTACATTTTAGAAACCATTTAAATTGCACTGTATTAATATATAGGTGCAAAATCTTATCCCTCCTCCCTCTTAAGTCTTGCTTGATTCCTTAGTATAACACACTTATTTTCTTTCATCATATGTGGGCTTTAGCACCACTATTCCCTTTTTGTCAGTCACTGAATATGTCCTCCTGTGCTGGGAATTTTCTGTTATCATGGTATTTATTTCCTGCAACCAAAGATTTTCTCCTTTTTCTCCTTTTTCTCCTATTTCTCCTATTTATGAATTTCATTTTGCAGTTTTGGTGCATATACTTTGCATTTACATACTTTCATATACTAATTTTATGTTATTTCTGTTACATCTAGTCATTCTCTGCACTTCCTTTGAACAACAGAGGCTAAAATCCAAACCATACAAGCAAAAAAACCCCAAACAATTTCTTATTACTTAAATATTTTAACCTTGGGCAGACCTGACTGTTTCTTTCAGCATTTAGGACTATACACTACAGGAAGCCAAGGAATGTTTTTAAGGACACTGTCTCTGCATGTTGCTGATAAGCACTATATAAAAATCACAGATTTGCAATTAATATGTAAAGAATTCATCAACCACTTAAATCCTTGCTAATGCTGAAGCACAGTGATCAAATAAACTAAGTACACACCCCTAATTTGCTTGGATTTACAGTGTTGTATGTTGTATTTCCCATTAAAATGCTTTTCTGTAGCAACTGAAATACTGGATTACAGAAATACATATACTGTAAAGGTGGATTTTGATTAAGAAATATTACACAGATTTATGTAAGATACGTAGAACGAGTTGATCTCAGAACAGCTAGCTCTAGCTATTGGAAGACATGTTCCCAAGTCTAATTCATTAATTAGACGTCATTTGTGTCCGATTTAAAAATCTTACTCATGAATATTCAATGTGTGAGATTTGGACCTCATTGCGGCGCCCCCTTCTGCTTGTATTGGAAAGCATACCCAAAATAAAGGCTGAAGAGTCAGACATGCCTCATTTCCCTCATTGACAGTGTGGGTAGCCCAAAATGCTTCTTAAACCCCTTTTCCTCATAATTCATTCTGTGACTACCACCGTAAGACAGAACTGAGCAGATACTTGTGGTACTGTTTTTTGTGTTATTACCGTATTATTTAAAACTGCCCTGAAGAAATAAAGAATATCACTGCTCTTTTATGTGAATATCACAGTTCTGATTATGTGAATGCTAATGGAAAAGGTTACTTAGAGTTCTTATTAAGTGATTAGGTTGCCTTTATATTTTCATAGGACCTTCATAATGACAATATAAATTTAGTGCTATGGTTGCTCATAAACCATTAGGAACAACACAAATATCTTCCTCATAGATGGGAAGGTAGAAGGTCCTGAAAAATAACTCTGTTTTGAATGTGTGGAAGTAAATTTATGTAAATTGCTGTCAGTCATCTATGTATTCATTTCACTAGCAAAACAACATTATAAATGATATGTAGCCGACAATCCTTCACTTGAAGACATGAAATGCAAATATTTATTCAAAACGGAAAAAGAAAATCACTTAAGGAGAAGCATAAGTCTTACCACGCCAATAGAAAAGTAGTTATTGATGATGTTGTAAGGCACTGGGTCTCCTTTCTCATCTTTATCATTGGGTATTACTTCGAATTTCCACCTGTCCAGCAAAATCTCTGAGCTGTTCTCAATGTCTTTTAAGATCTTCATCAAATTCTCACCTTCATAACCTAGCAAAACACGAAAATGGTTATTTAATCAAGCGTACTAGAGTTTTGCTACATTTTCGTTCTAGATGACTGGTTGGATGGGGCTCTTAGCAACCTGATCTAGTTGAAGATGTCCCTGCTTGTTGCAGAGGGGGTTGTACTAGATGACCTTTAAAATTCCCTTCCAACCCAAACTATTCTATAACTGTAAAAAAATCTACAGATTTCACTGGACATCAAATTTATACTGAAGAAAATAATTTGATTTTCAAAACTTGCCCATCCCCTGAATTTTCCAAATTATTATATCCAAAAAGCTAAGTTTTACTTTGGAAAATGTTCTTGCTATGAAATTAGTCCTAATATTTAAATACCTTTGATCTAAAAATTTATGGAATAAAGACATACAGTAGGTTTGTCTGATTAAAGTCTGACAAGTGACTAAAAAAAAGCTGTCTAGTATTTTTTATTGATTGCTTCAATGTGATATAGCATAAGAAACCCAGAATTTCAAATCTGTAACTGATGACTTATCAGCACAACTAACATTTTTCAGTCTTTCAACAACTATGAGCCTCCTTCTGCTCTGCAGAGATCTATTCTTACTTGGCTACAAGCACTCACATGTCTTCAGGTAATTCACTAGTAGTAGCAGTTCACCACACTGTATACTAAATTCAGTAGAAAACTTGTTTACACACTCCTGAGTATACACAGCATACAGTACGCATGTGCACATGTATAAAAGGTGTGAGGATTTTAATAAGTGACATTATAAACTCTGAAAACTATTCAGAGTAAATACCTTTGCAATAAATAACTAAGATTTGTGGATTTATTTCTTCTTCAAACCAGAAATAAATTTTCATATTCAAAAAATATGTACTTCCTGGGTCATTAATAGTTTGAGAAAGCAAAGCCATTCAAAGCCTCTCTGCTCAAAACACATTGCTGATGTATTTATTGACAGCTGTATAGTATGTTTTTGTTAGTTACTGCCAACCACTGCATAACACCAGGATGCAGAAGTCCATTTGTCTGCATCTTTGAGATCACTCACCAGCAGTTTAGTTTCTAGAAACCCCGTCTCCTACCCCATCTATGGAAGTTTCATTTTCTACCACAAAGTAACTGGTCAAAGAATGATAAAAGCCAGAATATTTTCATACTTTTTCTACTTTAGTCCAGATGGAAGCACTCAAAACAGAAGGTAAACAAATAGAAGTGAATGGAAGGACATGTTCTTGCTAATGTAACTAAATGATCTCATAGCTGACCCTGCTTAGAACAGGAGATTGGACTAGTAACTTCCTGTGACCTTTTCCAACCAGAATTATTCTATTACTCTGCTCTATGAACAGTTGAGAATGTAAAGCAAGGCTGAAATTATTGTGTTTTGGAAAAGTTTTATTTGTTGGGGTGTTTTGTTGTTGTTGTTGTTTTTCCCTAAGACTATGTAAATAACCAATCACCAGTCATGACAGAGAAAATAAAGGAGGTCCTCAAATGATTTGTCAGAATGTTATGATTAACAAAGAAGTTCTAGAGCATGAAAACTACTGAGAATTTACTAAAGATTATCTGGTAACTAGGCAGACATTTGGAAATGAAACTTGCTATGGTAGAACAGAAGAAGGAAGAGATATCTACAAAGGCTGAGAAGCTGCAAATAAAGTGCCAAGTTCCAAATACACATCTCAAATGAAACAACCAAGACCTAAATAGAACTATCTGTGAGGCCATAAGCTAACATGCTTTCACTAGAGACTGAGTCTTGCCTAAGACTTTCTTCTCTTTCTTCTTTGTGTCTTCTTCAAGTTATCCTGTAATGCAAATCCTGGAGGAGCTGAGAGAAAGGCTCCATACATCCAGGAAAAGATGCAAATGGGGTATTAAAGTTTTGACTTTACATATATTCTCCTTTCAGCATTCTTTGCCTTTCATTTCCTGTACCACAGCACTTATTGCTTGGAATCCTCTGTAGGAGAAAAGAAGGGGAGTGGATCAAAAGAACGAGTCTGAGGATGAGACACATTTTTCATTTAATATTTATGAATATTAAAAAAGATGAAGCCACTCCAAGCCCATTATTAGCTGTTTTCAGTAACCCTTTCAGAACAGTCCCAACTAAAATCCATTTAAGAATACTCCCTTTATAAGGTATTGATAAAGAAATTACTGCAATACAGATGCTAAAAAGCCAACCAAATAGCATATACTACCCTCACTGCACTTTGGAGCCTTTTGGGTGTTAGCAGAAGCTACAAACAAGGTATAAAGAGTGATTACAACCTTTAATAGCTGTAAAACCATTCACATAACATTTACAGAGAGTTAATTCCAAGAAGAGGATAGGTGGTAATTGTTCTTTATATACATCATAAAAAAGAAATCCAAATGTTGAGAGCAGATTTTGATGCAAAAGTTTTCTTTTTTCCCTTTTAATTAAATAATGCATTGTATTTTCAATTTTTGTTTACCTCCTCCCCATCTCAGACACCTTGCTAAATCATTGCCAGTCCCAAGAGGCAGGATAGCAACTGGAGGATGCTTAATCAAGTTCGCTTTCTCTGTGAATAAAGAAGGAAAAAACATAACTGTTTGGTACTGATACAATGTGTTAGGTTCTGTTTCAGTGACACGTTTTGTATATGAGATTATGCTGCCTGCTCAGTAACAAGCATTTCACCAAGCCACTCCATTATGCAGCCCCTTTTCCAATCAATATTCAATTCTTAATCCTAATTTACTCAGTTGTTATCATGAGGACTTTTGTAACCAACAGATGTGATAAACATTCATAAACAGCAATACCAACATCTTTCCAAGACTGAAAATGTTGTGCTCTCTGTTGTGTTCAGGTCTGCCATTTTCAACTACAAATGCAAGTGTGTAATAGTTAAGGGCATAAACAATAAGATGAATCTTCTACTTTTTCATCTGGATAACCAAATTTGTGTTTAAATGTGTATTCACTTGAATTGCTCTTGAATTCACTTGCTAACACATGAGCACCAACACCAGGGATTTTCCCATCAGGAAACAAACTTGCTATTCGAAATGAGCACTGATCTATTTGATAAGTCTTCAAGTCAATACTTTGTATTTAATAAGTAATGCTTCGAGATGTATGAATTTACAGTGTTTTTTGACTCTTTACTGGTATGTTTTTACCATTTCAAGCCCAATGATCTCTGTTCAAAATCCAATGGGAAAACCCTTGTCAAGAAATACAGCCTTTCTGAAAGCTGGAAATGGGGGAGGTATATTTCAAATGTAGAATTTGTCAAATCTCATTTAATTGGAATGATTAGCATGTCTAGTTTATAAGTTATACTTGAATAGTCAAACAATCAGAAAATTTGTTCACAGAATTATGCAAAATTATCAGCAATTCATAGAAGGAGCTTATATACCCAATGGATGTGGCAGAGAAATCTTGCTATTTATCAGTTTCTCTCATCGATACTTTAGGAAGATATAACATTCACAATACCAGCACACTGCAAAGAGAATTTAGTATTTAATAGAATAATTTTTAAAAAGTTTAGGAAAAAAAAAAAGACCATAAAGAAAAAATGTTTGGATTGGTGCTTGGTCTTTCGTGTGTGTTTTTGTGTTTTCTTTTCCCACTCCCTTCCCTTTCTTTTTTTTTCCCTTTCCTTTTTCCTCTCCCTTTCCCTTTTCCTCTCCCTTTCCCTTTCCTTTTACCTCTCCATTTTCCTTTCCTTTCTTCTTGCTTTGTTCTTAGCTATGATTCTTTGTGTACCAGGATATCAGGGAAGAAAAGACCAAACTAGAAAGTGTGCACTTCTCGAAACAGGCGATTTCTTCAACTTTATATGCCAAAGGGCTTTTGTTCGCTGAAAGGCAGCTTTGAAAATCTTATTTCCTGCACCTATGAAACAAAGTGATCCTAGATCCCCAAATAATTTCTTAGTTCTGTACCAGAAAAATTGCTTCAGAAGGTAGTATTTTAGTGAAACATAACACAGTCTTTTTTCCAAATAATACCACTGACAGAGAAAGTAACTGCATGACATTTTAGACCTAATGAAACAAATTATGACAGAATTAACAGCTGCAAAACTTCACCCCTTCCAAATTTAGGTAATACACCTGATAGTTATGTATGTTGATTTACAACTTTGAAAGCTATTTGAGAGTTACAATCATAGCTTGCATTTTCAAAAAGGTTGTTTTTTTTCTTTTAATCAAGATTAGAAATATGCCTTTGCTTTTATCCATTCCTGTATGACATTATTTTTACTTTTCACTGAACTTTAAAAGATTTTCTGGTCCCTACCTCCCACAAAGCACATGCTTTTAAATGTTCTTCATCTAAACTTTCAGTTGAGTCCTTTGACCTCTCTTCATCCCCTTCCTAATTTCCATTGTTACATGTTCCCGTTTTTTTTTCTTTTCGGCCCCTCTAAAACCAAATAAACAACCATGTGGTGTGGAAGATATTCTCTCTAGGAAGCTTTGACCAGTTTAAGTCTGTGATATCTTGACTTCTGGGTCTTCCTAATAATTTATACAGAGGAGACTTCACAGCCAACTGACTTAAAAACCTCTGAAACTGAAACAGCTGTTAGCCCATTATCTCCATTCTGGGATAATGAAGCATAAACAAAAATTTGGTAACAGAAAAAGCAAATGAGCTAAGGTAAATGGTCTTAAAACAAACAAATTGAAAGAAATAAGATTTGATTCAGTTGGGGAATAGACTATGAACTGAAATTAAAACAGACAGATTAGAATTTCATGTTTTCTGGAAATCCATAGACTACAAACACTGGATCTGTCTAGAGATTTTGAGCATCTTTTGCAATTTGAAAATCCTTAAAAATAATCATGTGCTAAACTAATAAATTTCAAAAATTTAAACGAAAAAGATCCTGGTTTAGGCGGCTGTATCCGTATTTTGGTATACAGTGAAGAACAGCAAAATGGAAAGCATTAGTCAAGCAAAACTATGAAAATGCTTTTGATTACCTATGCAATCCAAAATCCATCCTACTGTCCCATCTCCACCACATGCTAGTACTCTGAACTCAGGAACATCTCGGAAAAAATTTAACCTAAAAACAGTAAATGAAGATATCTATTATGCAAATATTTTATGGCTTAAGAATATTCATTTATGTGAATGTGAACAAGTGAACATTTGAAATAACCACCTCTGTTCACATAAATACAATCCAACACCATGTGATCTGAAAAATCTAATATGAAATTATTAATTCAAGCATTATTATCATATATTAAGACTAGAAGTAGCTTGGATCTGATGGTTAATCCAATCTTTATCTTAGTTCAAATACTTTTTGAAACTATTAACAGAAAACAATATCTATTTACCTAGTTGTAAATGGGTATGGAGAGTCTCAAGACAAAAAATTCTAACATGGCTAAGCGTATAAAACACAATTCCTTGTGAGATGCTGCCTATAAAAGCATAATGAAAACTGTATTTCTGATAGTACAGTGGTACATAAACTGAGCATTTTGTGGCTGATAGAAACAACTTTGCACCAAGGTTTAATACAAAATGAGTAAGCATCACATTGAATACACCCATTCCATCATCCTACAAACCGTATTTCAAAAGTGAAACATCTTTGGTGATATTCTGCTTCTGTATCCCACCAAGTGCTGGACAGTATCATCACCTGATTACCCACTTCATTCAATACCAATGTTCCACAATGCTGGAAAGTGAGTATGTATTGAAACAATTCTAAGTTGCAACATTTTAAAATTAAAAGAGTCTTCTAAGGATAGCTCTTGACACATACTGAAATTTGTCCTTACACATATATTGTGACTAGACAAAAATCTTCCAGTAATTTTGCTGAATTACTAGATATGTGCATCTGTAAGCACCTACAATCACATATATGCTATTCATTGCTATCACAGACATCTTAGTGCATATTCTATATGCTAGTGACCAGATCTCATTGCCAGCTTGCAATCTCCCAATAAATGCATAATTAGTACATTGCATGCAAATTCTTAAATATACAAATTAACTTGCAAGTGTTTAATTCAAGCTATTTTCCATATGAAATTTTAATGCTGCACATGGAGTGGTGCTCTTGTCCCTAGAAAGCTTTAAAAATTCTTTTAGGCATTTTGATAAAATCAAGAACACATGACAAAATACAGAGCAAAAGAAAGAGTATGAGAGAATGAAATTAAAAATACAATGGTCAAAAAAAGTTATTTAACATGTAGAAGATGACAGGACAGCTTCTTGTTCTACCAGTTTTAGAACAGCATTTCAACGTTAGAAAGCTACACAGAATTAAGCCCATCACATTGTCGTCCCACTCCCTCTAATTTTCTCTGCTGAGCTCTCAGACAATTTCAAGTGTCACATATGATGTCTGAAGGATGCTTACTTGATCTGTATTAAACTCTGCTTTGCCATTCTCACCTCTTAGGTTCTACTTCATACATCCACAGGACAAGTACTATAGGATCTCTTTCGATCCAAAACTTCACAAGCCAAGTCTGACTGGGTACACTTGGGGAATACAGGCAATAAGCATACATGTTGAAAGACACTCTGCCGGAAGTCACCTTCTACTACTGTAAGAGTGGACATTGAGGTACGCCCTGGCCCACAGGTATCTCTCCCACTTTACGAGACCTGGCAAAGAAACAAATGCCTCCAATCACCAGCATTCCCACTTTGTGCTGGGTCTGTAGAAAGTTAGCAGTTTTGATTATATTTCTTCCAGTACTGAGGGTATTTCAGATTAATTTAAAATCAAACTATAGCCCAGAGGTGATGGCAGGGTACTAACTTCTATAAATATATATAAGCATTTCTACCACATGCAACAGATGTCAAAAAGAAGGTCCAGGGGAAAAAAAAATAAAAAAAAAAAAAGGAAAAGAAATTAAAAGTACAGGGTTGATGCTAGCATTAATCCAGACAGGCAGAACATGGACCCAAATCTTCATCTTCCCTTTTATAAACAAGCATTCTCAACACATGGCTATCAAACATCCTTTTTGTTTTGAATGTATATTTAATCTTCATCAAAAAAGTGTAACTTCCCAAGAAAGTGGGGGATTGAAGAATGACAAAACCGTATTGTCAAAAAAATTCCCAGTAAGCTTCATTCATATTTCCCCTGGAACAATTTCTAATCATACACAGTGAATTTTCCAAACAATTTCACAGTACAGCATTAAGTTCACATGACTTTTTATTTTTATAAATTTAAATGTAAAAGTGATAGATTATATAACTGTACAATACATAAAATACATAAAGCATCATATACCTTGCATTTTATATTTGCATATATAAATATAGCGCATATAAATATAGTGTAACAAATATAAATATTTATAAAATCAAATTAATTTATAAATTTAAATATAGTTATATAATTACATATGTAAATAAATCTCATTCATTGAATTAGAATGTGCAGTCTACATTAAGAGTTGGGAAAGGAACAAAGCTTCTGCTGATAACGTTTCAGTCAAACTCAGTAAGCGCTACAATTTTGAAGAAATTTCTTAATAGAAAGAGTATGTATTGCCTATCAAGATAGTTTCAGTCAATTAGTGTTTTAATAGCACTTCTTACCTCTTACCCACAGAAAATTTTTATATGGTTTAAAAAAAAAAATAAAAAAAATTGTTGGAGAACTTACTAAAAGTGGTGTGAAGTAGAAATAAAAAAAATGGAAGTCATCATAAAGGCTTTGTGCACTGTCAGACTAAGGTAAAGGACCAGAATAGAAAATTTAATGCTATTATAACTTGAACTGACTTATAAAATTGTACAAGAATCCTAGGTAGGTATAATAAATATCGAGTAACATAAAAATAAAGATCAGTACTTACAATGGGTCTCTTCCTCAAAAGTTTTACCTCTACTTTAAAAAAAAAAAAAAATCTAAGTTTTAACAATTCAGATTATTACTCTTAACATAGCACAATATGACAAGTGCAACAAGTACAAAGGACCATTATGTCAGTAACCTTACAGAAATTCTGTCAATAACCATGACAGAAATTAAACAGGATACGTGAAACAGGTAAATTGGAAACTTAAAAAAATAGTATTTTCTTCATATCAAATTAATTTGTATTATAATTCACACAGAATAATACAATACATTATTTTTATTCTTTTTTCAATGAAGAAAAATACTGCCCCCCAAAAAACTCCTTTTTCTCTTGATGTAAGAACAGGTAGATATTCTTTTCTACAGATTTGCTATTTATAGACACTATAGTAAAAAGCTTTCTTACATCACTTAACATATGATAGCAGAGTTGGAACTGCACATAAGAACATTATGCTGGTACAGAATGTAACGCAAGTTATATCTATTATTCAATCACTGGCAAAAAGGAAACAAGAAATCCACAGAAAGATCAAAACATCCATGGTTGTATACTAAGTCCTTAAAACAGGAGGATAGTTTTTCTGGGTGAATTGCCAAGATGATTTTAGAAAAATAACCATTTTTCTTTCTATTGAGAAAGGTCAATACAACCAATCCCTGAAGGTGGCTTACAAGAGATTATTATATTTGATGGTATTTCTATCCTCAAAATTGACCAGATCATCTAACTCTTGTCTGTTGATCAAATTCTTATACATTAAATTGCAGCTTCCCTTTTCTTTATCACCCAACTTTTCACATTCTACAAATTTCATAAACATACACATAGTTCTTAGTCCATGATCAATAATTAATATACTAAATGGGCTCACTCCTATGACTAAACTGGTAAAGCTATCAACAGATATCTTCATCTTGATAGCTCACTTGTAAATTGACCTGTTTTAGTCTTCCTTAATCCAGTTTCCTATTTGCCGGAAGAAAAACAAATAAATTTAAACCACTGAAGGTGTCTGATACCAGCCTGTTTTTATTTTATTTTGTCAGACACAGTGATCTCACACACAAAGGCGACTATTGAGTTCCTGCTGATAAATTAGTAAATTCCACTTGAAAGATGGCAACTGTGCACTGTACTATGCAGAGATTCCAGGTGCTCAGCCACACAAGGGGGAATTAACAGCAGCACCATGTGAAATCATTCAGCCAATCATCTTCACTCACAGTGGAAGCAAAAATTAAAACTCAAGAGCCTAAGCAAAGAATAATCCACTGATACCGGTATCTCAGCACAGGTATCAGCTAAATGTAAGGTAAATTACAAATGATCAGTGGATATAAAAATACTGTTTAACTTAGTAAACTTCTCTTCTGCAGTAAAGACCAAAGTGCAAGAAAGGGGAATAGAAATTAGTATCTGTGTATATGAAAGAAATTTTATTTTAAATGGCTTAGAGTTACTTCAGCTTTTGTGACTTAGAATAATGTTTTTACTGAGCTGGTTTTACAGTTACATCTAAGTAATTTGGATTCAGTTTCTGGAAAAGGAGAGTAATTTAAGAAATAAATGATCAGATAAAATTGTGAATACTTTTGTCTCATAGCTTCTAAGCCAATATTAGTATACACAGTACATGAACTTTGCCAATTACAACTGTAATCAGCTTCAAGATAGAGGACTTCAGAAGCTCTATATTATGATGTACAGAAAAACTGTATTAAAAGTTATTTGTTATGACTTCTGTTTCAAAACTTCTGTTTCATAGTAATAAAACAGTCTGGCCTTAAAGGTAATGAAATAAAAATACTGAATCAATAAATATGTAAAATCATTAAATTCAATATTCACTGTTCATAAAGTGTAGCATAAACCACACTAATATTAAAATTTTCTTCAATGGCATCTGTAACTTATCAGTTTGCTAATTATACATGAACTAGTACAACATTTAGATACTAGAATGGACCTTATGCTGTGTGTGAATGGAAGTGAATGAAAGATAAATATTTACCCTAAATATCACCAGCTCAAAGGTGATTTGTCATCAACAGATTTATGCTCACGAAGGACCTATATCATAGCTACCTCACACTTCTAGGTGAACCCTATGACTTAGAAACTTTGTCCACTTAAGAATTCACAAAGTTGGGTTTAATCTAACAATTTCACTAATTTATATGTTCAACTCACCACTAGTTCT